AGACTGCGCCACGGCGAAGGGGGAGAACGGGTAACTCTGCAGGGTGACCCCTGCCGTCAGCGGCCATAAATCATCCCGACAGTTTGCGGCTTGTAATGACGTACGTGATGAAAACAGCCCTTCCCCTCGGGGCCCTCCCGCACCCGTGACTCGCCTCGCCACGAGGAAACACCAGCACTGGCCAGTGAGGCATCCCCACGCCCTGCGAGAAGCTGGCCCGGCCGCGGAGCCTGGGGCACGGCGATCGGTGCCAGGCAGGTCCTGGGCAGAACGGGCACTAGGCAACGCTAAGAAAACCACGTCAAGCTGTACTCCTCACTCGGTACCGATACTGGCTCACTGACCGTGACCAGTGACCTTTCCTCAGGGGGCAAACCAGGTGCGAGGCAGACGGGAACTCCGTGCCCCCGCCTCGTCTTTTTCTGAAAAGTCTAAAGCTTTTCTAAAACACAAAGTCTATTAAAAAGAAAATTCACATAGTCATTTATTTCATTTTTGTTAAAAGACAGCTGCACCCACATGTTCCTTACAGAATTATTTATTGGTTTGTTTAAGATATATTTTTATTGATTTCAGAGAGGAAGGGAGAGGGGGATAGAGGGAAAGAGAAACATCAACGATGAGAGAGAAGCGTTGGTTGGCTGCCTCCTGCACGCCCCACCTTGGGGATTGAGCGGGAAACGCAGGTATGTGCTCTGACTGGGAATGGAACCTGTGACCTCCTGATTCACAGGTCCACGCTCAACCACTGAGCCACATCGGCCGGGCGACAATTCATTTATTTATTTATTTTTGTTAATCCTCACCTGAGGATATTTTTCATTGCTTTTCAGAGAATTGAAGGAAGGGAGGAATGAGAGAGAGAGAGAGAGAGAGAGAGAGAGAGAGAGAGAGAGAGAATAACTGGTTGCCTCCCACATGCGCCCCTACTGGGGATGGGGAGGAAACCTGCCATTGAGGTGTGTGCCCTTGACCGGGAATTGAACCGACCTTTCTGTGTACAGGCCAGCGCTCTAACCACTGAGCACACCAGCCAGGGCAAAAAGAAAAGAATTAAAAATGAACAACTGCTGCTGCACAGAAGCGTAGACACGTCTCCCCCATGGGACAGAGTGCACCAGGCACCGTCTATGAACCCAGTGCTCCGCCCGCACCGTCTAGACGGGAGCCGGGGTGAGCGGTCAGCGGCGTGTCCTTGGGGAAGTGGGGCGGTGGTTATGGGGTGAGGTCATAGGAGGGGCTTCTGGGGTGCAAATGTTCTATTTCGTTAAAATTTTGTTTAATATACTTTTATTGGTTTCTTAGAGAAGCAGGGAGAGGGAGAGAGACGTCGGTCGGCTGCCTCCTGTACGCCTCCTGCTGGGGATCGAGCCCTGACTGAGACTCGAACAGGTGACCTCTCGGTACATGGGGGCTGCTCCACCACTGAGCTCACTGGCCAGGCCGTTCTCCTTGGCGGTCCAGCTGGCGGCTGCGTGGTGGTTCCCTTTCTTTACCTCGACGAGCTGCCTCTGCAGATCCAGTGAAGCCAGGGATGGAAAGCAGACAAGAACGTGTGAAGCGTGAATCAGGATGTGTATCCGCGTGGACAATGCTGGATTAAAGAAAGTAACTTTCCAATTCATACCTAAAACATGCCAATTCTTAAAACTTACCGTCAGTGAAACAAACTGTGTCGCTTACAGACTTAGGAGCTGAGCTGAAGTATAATATAAAGACACATGAGATGGTGAGTAAGGAGCTCATGATCACAGCTGGCTCTGCGGAGGGAGGAGGGGAGAGGGTCTCGGGAATGATTTGTGTGTGTACGTGTGCGTGTGCGTGCGTGGTGTGTGTGGTGCGTTGTGTGTGTGTGTGGTGTGGTGTGTGTTGCATGTGGTGTGGTGTGTGTATGTGTGTGTGGCATGTGTGTGTATGTGTGTGTTGTGGTGTGTGTGTTGTGTGTGTTGTGTGTGGCATGCGTATGTATGTGTGTGTGGTGTGCGTGTATGTGTGTGTGTGTGCTTGTGTGTGTGTGTGTGTGTGGTGTGTGTACAGTATATAAACTTTCTGGTGGACGTATTGCAAAATATAAAGTAGAGATAGTTAGATTGTGATATTATTCTCGATTCTTTTTCTAGTTTTGAAAGAAAAATAAAAGTGTCCACATCCCAGAACACGGACGTCCTTGGAGGAGGATAGTTCGCCGTGAGCCTCCGTGGCCCTGCGTGTGCAGAGGAAGGGCCACGGTCCCTGCAGGAGGAGAGCCCGGCTCGCAGACCAGTGACCTTGGCGTTTCACCGGCCCCTCGTTACCAGCACGTCTGTCATGAAGGTAATCACCGAGTGTCCCGGGAGGTGGATTGCACCTGCTGACAGGCCTCCCCCCTGGGAGGAGGCGAAGGGGAGGTCAAGGCCAGCGGGCTCCCCTGTGCCATGGCGTGGCGGGGGGGGGGGGGGGGGCTGGTGCCACCGGGGAGCGGAGATGGGGAGGCCGGGGACACGGAGGACGTGGTCTTTGAACACGTGACGTTTGGGGGCCTCTCGGAGCCCAGGTCCGGCAGTGGGCAGTCTGTGGAGTCTCTGTTGGCCTCAGTCTGGGTGTGATTGCCAGCGCCTGGTCTTCTGGGATCTGACTGAAAGAGCCAGAGACCTGAGAGCGGAGGGAGGTGGAAAAGGATGACCTTGAGTGGCAGTGCCAAGGTCAAAGCCCCTTTAACCCCGCTCAGACTCCTCCCCTCCGGATCCTGCTGCCCGTAGACGCATTCGCTAAAAGAAGGAAGCCAGTGTTCACACGCACAGCCTGAAGCACACAGCGCCCTCCCCCCGCTAGGCCAACGTGAGCAGAGTGTGAGCCACGGCTGCTGTCCTGTCCGGGGGAGGCCGGTAGGACCCCTGCCAGCTCAGGCCGCTGTGGCAGCATCCCCCTCCTCGCGTTGCAGGACGCTGCCCACAGCTCCCTCCTCCTGCTCCTCCTCCTCCTCCTCCTCCTCGGCGCTCCCGCCCAGCCAGCAGCTCACCCCTCGCCAGCTGGGGCCCAGAGGGCTCCTGTCTCCCAGGAGGGCCCACTTGATGTGGGGAGTGGGGGGTGGGGCTGGGGGAGGGGGGAGAGAGGAGGGGCGGCCAGGATGCTCTTACCTCTCCCACGTGGCCCTGCAAGTCCTGCCAGGTCTGCCTCCCTCCAACCGCCAGGGACTGCAGCCTCCACCAGAACCTCGTCCCCTGCTCTGCTGGCTCCACTGGTCCCGTGTGCACCACTCAGCACGGACGGCAGGGGGCGCCGCTGGCTTGGGCTGGGGCAGCAGCATCACCTCCCCAGGCCTCAGGAGGTGGGCGGTCACTGCAGGTGGGGACCTGGGGGCGGAGGTGCACGCCCCCTGCTTGCGCCCTGGGGTGGGGGCTAGGATGCAGTGGGGAGGTGAGCAGTGTCTGGCGGCGAGGGGGAGGGCCAGGGACGGCCCCCTTCTCTCCTCCTTCTGGTCCCCCAACGCCCCCCAGGCACCTGCAGCCTCGAGGTGTCTCCGAACCCGGCGGGACATTCTCGTCTCTGCCCCCAGGCCAGGCCCACTGCGCCTCCTGCAGGACCACAGGGCGCGCGCTTGTCTGTCTGGTGGCCCATCCGTCAGCTTCCCTGGCCTGCAGTGAGGCCGGACCTCCTGCAGGGCAGCTGTGGGCACTCCCCGCCCCGCTGTTTCCATGGCAGCTTCCCACTCGGGTAGCGATGTCCTAAGATGAGAACGTGTGCCCGGGCCGCCATTCCGGATTGTTCGCTGTGAGGAGAGTTTAAGAAGCTTCTACACACCCACTCACAGGGACCTCTGCAAGACACCATCCTTCAGATCTCACAACCTGCCACCGGGATCTGAAACCCAAACTGGCAGTTTTTACCTTACAAAAACCCTGGGCTCACAGAACTCAGAGAAAGGAGGTTGTGTGGCAGCTGAGGCCACAAAGCCACGTGGAAACCATCAGGTTGGGGAAGCACAGCCATGTGCTGGGACAGGAGCCGCCTTCAGAATGGCTGCAATGATCCTGCGCGGCTTTAGAATGTATTTCTGTAAGGAAGAGAACGGCGCGTCTTTTGTACGATTGGCAGGAAAAATGCTTTCAAAGCTTCAGAAATAAAGCACACCTCGAAGGAAGTGGGTCTTTTTCGTGCTTCTTCTCAGCAGTTCGTTCATTTCAAAGGCCTCGCTGAGAGGTGTGCTCCTGGCCTGGAGTCCCGCGCTCGAGGCCACAGGGCCAGTGGGCGGTCATGGACAGTGGTGCCAACACCTATTCCCTTACCCACATGTATGTTGTTCTGGAGGTAGCGGAGTGTTGGTTCCGCACATACATACAATGTAGTCCTATATTGAACTTTAAAGAAATGAGACCCGCCGAAGCCTGTTTGGCTCAGTGGTAGAGCATCGGTCTGCGGACTATAAGGTCCTGGGTTCCGATTCTGGTCAGGGCATGTACCTTGGTTGCGGGCACATCCCCGGTAGGGGGTGTGCAAGAGGCAGCTGGTCGATGTTACTCTGTCATCGACGTTTCTAGCTCTCTGTCCCTCTCTCCCTTCCTCTCTGTAAAAAATCAATAAAATATATTTTTTTAAAAAGAAAGAAAAAAGAGAAATGTGACCCACGTTGGTTTTTAAAGTGTCGCGGACACATGGATTCTTCTAGGAAAGCTTTGTTGGAGCCTCGCGATGACCGGGCTGTCCGCCCTGGCTTAAGGCTCTGAACAGCGTCAGACACGGAACCCTCCCCGTGTGTGGCCAGAGCTAAGCCCTTCCCCCAACTTCTGTCCGTTGTCCAGAGATTTGAAGTTTTCCCCTTTTATCCTGATTTTTAAAACATCAAGGGGAGCAGGGGAAGGTGGAAGAGGGTAAAGGAATAAGTGGTGATAGAAGGGGATGGACTTGGGCTGGTCAACACACAATACAACATACCGGTGATGGATGGCAGAACTGTACCCCTGAAACCTCCGTAACTTTATTAAAACCAGCGTCACCCCAATGCATTCAATAAAAAGGTAAAAAATCACTAAGTCAACTTTATTAAAGCATACTTACCTGTAACAAAACGCTACCCTTTAAGGTGTGCAGTTTGATGGGATTTTTCCATTCATTCACTCACCCACCCATCCACTCACTCATCTATCATCTATCTACTTACTCACCCACCCACTAGCCATCTATCCAATAACTGTTGAATGTCTACTGTGAGCTACCAGGAATCCTGCCTCCACTAGACTTATATTCTTACAAGGAAGACAAACAATTTAAAAATTATAATAAGAAGACCAGACACATCACAATGGGGAGATAGGGGTACAGGGGAGGTGCAGGAGCAGCAGCTGGGATCCTTCTCAAGGGGAGAGGTTCGTGCTGGGCTTGTAGAGGGATGTCAGTAGGCCGGTGAGCCACCTCGGCTGTATTCGCTGAGCACTGCGGGGGGGTCTGGGGGAGCTGCTGCCTACGCAGTTGGAGGGGAGCAGGACTGACATGGCGTTCACCAGGGCTGGGCTGGGCAGTGGGCGACGTTCTGGGCAGAGAAACCCTGGGCCAGGCCACCGAGGGAAGAGATGTTGGTGAGCTGGGAACACACCATCACACATCACCAGGGCGTGAAGGTCAGCCAGAGGGGGCTGGTGGTTCTGAGCCCCGGAGCTGTGAGAGCAGAGTGACATGTGCTGCGGCTTTATTCACACGCTCACCTCTATGCTTCTTGAGGCAGAACCCCAGAGACCTCCCCCTGCTGTTCCCAGGAACCTGTATGAACCACCGTGTGAAGCATTTCTGTGACGATCTGCTGAGGGGCACGCCGGCCATGGGGCGTGGCTGTCGGCCTTGCATTTGCTGAGCGGCTCACTGGCGGGGACGGAGACCCCCGGGCGACCTGGGCCCGCTCACGACTCCAGCCTCACGCCCATCAGCCCGGTGACCCGCAACCTCGGTGCCACGGGGGTGGGATTTCAGCGGCCACGGCCACACACCTACCACAGGACAACCACGGGACACGGTCGGTGAGGGAGATGGAGTGATGTGCTGTGATGCCCGTCAGCGCTGCCTGCTTCCCTGCATCGAGGCTGGATGGACTCAGAGGGTCCGCAGACCGAGGTCAGAGAGGACAGGGCAGGCAGGCGGCTCTCCACGGGCGCACGTGTGCGGTCATTGCAGATGCAGGTAAGACCGACCCTCCCAGGCCGCCTCTCAGGGACAAGCACCCCTGAACCCCGATGCCGGCGGCGAACGGGTTCTGAGACTATCCCTCAGCTTCTGACCGAACACCAGATGGCCCGCTCCCCGAGAGAGCCGCTCAGGGCCCGGCGCTGTGCTCCTGGGCAGCGGGCGTCACGGTGCTTTAAGGCCAGAGTAGAACGGCTTCCCCGAAGGACAGCCTCCACGGGGTCCCAGGGGGGGGCACTGTCCACCTCACACCGCGCTCCCCGCCCCGCCCGGTGGGCCCCGCCGCGTCCACCACGCGCACAGCGTGTGACATGTGCTGCCGGCTTTATTTACACGCTCACTACATGTTCCGTGGGGCAGACACCCAGCGACCTCACCCGCCGCTCCCAGGAATCGGTGCAAACCCCCGCGTGGAAGAGACAGAGGGATGCCAACCCCAGACGCCGCACCCCGGAGGCTGCAGGGAGCCTGCTGTCTGACCGGAGGGCCGCCTGGACCGCAGATGGGCCGGCGGGGAGCACGGCCACGGGGCGCCAGCAGGACGCCGGCCGCGGATCCAGGAGGAAGCCGCATGGGCGCTCTCAGGCGCCGGGAGCCGGGAGGTGGCAGCCCAGCCGCCGGCTCTCGGATCTTCCATGCGCAGAGCGAGGCGGAGCGACGCGCAGGCCCAGTGTGAGGCCGGAGCGGACATGCAGGGCCATCAGTGGGCGGGAGGGAGAGGGTGGGCACCGCGCCGTCCACACTGCAGTGCGCCCCCAGCTCCGTCTCAGGCTTCGTGGCACGGGCACTCCCCCGGAGAGGGCCTGCCCCGCGGGCCGCCCGGAAAGGTGCGAACAGGACGAGGTCCGTGTGCAGCGACCCCGCTGGGTGACCGGCCACGCGGGCGTGCGGTGAGGACCGGACCACGCCGTCCTCGCTGAGAGAGCGGACGGCCCGCCCGCAGCGGCCGCCTCAGTGATGCCCGGGAGACGCCGGCAGCGCTCAGCGGAGGTGCAGGGGCCTGTACTCCGGCCGCCGGGTCTGCACGATTTTGGGTTTGGGCCTCCTCGTCCGCTCCGTCTCGTCCTCCTCCTCGTCCTCCTCGCTCTCGCACACGTGCACCACCACGCTGGGCGTGCTGTCGGTGGCCGCGTGCAGCTCGTACTTGTCCCCTGGGGGGAGAGGGGCACGGTCACCGGTCACCGGGCAGGAGCGAGCACGCGGACCAGCGGCCGCCTCTGTGCACGCGGAGTGGACGGAGGGACACCCGGACGGCCTCGCTCGGTGGCCTTCCCGAAGGAGGAGCCGTGAGCCGTCCACCGCCCGCGCTGGGCCTGTGTGAGCACAGCGGCCCTTCACCCTCCGGAAGGTGGGAGGGGCCTCTGCTCGGCCGCACGCTGAGCCCAGGGCACGGCCATTGTCCAGGGCACAAGGGAGAGCTGCCGGGAGGTCAGAGGTCACGGGTCACCTTGGCCACGATGCTAACAACCCCCAGCCCACCGGCCAGGCGTGCCCAGAGGTGCAGGGGCGGGAGGACGTTTGCAACACGTCTGCCTCCCGTGGCTGCAGAGCACAGTCCCCAGGAGCCCCAGCACGCCGACCGGCTTCCCAAGTCTGTCTCCCAGGGCGTCTCCCTCAGCCTCCGCGGCGAGGTGCTGCCAGAGGGGTCTCCCTCACAGGTCCCTCTCCCCGCAGGGGCCGCCCCCTGCTCTGCCCGGGAGACCCTGTCCCCTGCTCTGTCCGGGAGACCCCTCCCCTGCTCTGTCCGGGAGACCCCGGCCCCTGCTCTGCCCGGGAGACCCCGGCCCCCTGCTCTGTCCGGGAGACCCCATCCCCCTGCTCTGTCCGGGAGACCCCGGCCCCTGCTCTGCCCGGGGGAGACCCCGTCCCCCTGCTCTGTCCGGGGAGACCCTGTCCCCTGCTCTGTCCGGGAGACCCCGTCCCCTGCTCTGCCCGGGGGAGACCCCGTCCCCCTGCTCTGTCCGGGGAGACCCTGTCCCCTGCTCTGCCCGGGGGAGACCCCGGCCCCTGCTCTGCCTGGGGAGACCCCGTCCCCTGCTCTGTCCGGGGAGACCCCGTCCCCTGCTCTGTCCGGGGAGACCCCGTCCCCCTGCTCTGTCCGGGGAGACCCCGTCCCCTGCTCTGTCCGGGAGACCCCGTCCCCTGCTCTGTCCGGGAGACCCCGTCCCCTGCTCTGTCTGGGGAGACCCCGGCCCCTGCTCTGTCCGGGGAGACCCCGTCCCCCTGCTCTGTCCGGGAGACCCCGTCCCCCTGCTCTGTCCGGGAGACCCCGTCCCCTGCTCTGTCCGGGGAGACCCCGTCCCTGCTCTGTCCGGGGAGACCCCGTCCCTGCTCTGTTTGGGAGACCCCGGCCCCTGCTCTGCCCGGGGAGACCCCGTCCCCTGCTCTGTCCGGGGAGACCCCGTCCCCTGCTCTGTCCGGGAGACCCCGTCCCCTGCTCTGTCCGGGAGACCCCGTCCCCCTGCTCTGCCCGGGAGACCCCGTCCCCTGCTCTGCCCGGGAGACCCCGTCCCTGCTCTGCCCGGGGGGCTCAGCCCTCAGCCTGTAGCCTCGGCAGGAGCTGGGGGAGCACACGCCCCCGCCTGGCTGCCCGCCTCGACCTTCACGGGCCTCGGGCAGCGGGTAACCGATCCCCGCGCCCCCGCACAGGATGTTCTGCTGTTTCAGAAACGTAACCTTTCCCTAAGGAACTGCTGATGGCGAGAAACCGACACCCTGACCGGGACATCTGATTGCGGCTCAAGGAGAAACCAGGGGCCGTGGCTCAGCACCTTCTCTGCTGCAGGGACCAGGCGGGCCTCCTCCCAGCCTCTAGCCCACGGCCAGGGCCCCACGTTACTGTGCTGCGGAACCACGAGCTGAGCGTGGCAGGCAGGGGGTGCCCAGGCCCCATGGGGGTGAGGGGGAGTGGGCCCGGAGCCCTCTCTCTGGCTGCCCCACAGGGAGCGCCCGGCGGGAGGGGTGCTGGGGGGGAGCCTCGGCCCTCCTCCCTGTGGCAGTGGCTCTGCACCCGCACTGGGCAGGGAGCAGAGGCAGGCAGAGGACAGAGGACCCTCACGGGGAGCACTTCCGGGGGGAGGGCTGGTTTCCTCCCACGTCCACGCTCATGTCCACGCGGAGCGGCAGGCGGGGTCTGGCGCCCACACGGGCGGAGTCAGTGGTGAGGAGGGGGTCACGGGTGGTGGTCGAGGGCCTGGCATTCCGTCCCCACAATCAACTCTGTCCCTGTGGTCCTCCCTACGGAGCGAGCCAGAGGCAGAGGCCACCCCCACGGTTCCACTGAGGCTGAGGCCACACAGGGGGTTCTCCTGGCGCCAGGCACGAGGGGGGGGGGGGGAGGACAGGGGGAGGCCATGCCTCCCGACCACGAGCATCTGCGTCTGGGCCCTCCGCACTCTCTCCTCACTGCTGCCCCGCCCCCGGCCGCTCACCTCCCCCCCCCCCCCCCCGGGCCCCCACTCACAGCTCACCTGCCCCTCCATCCCCGGGGCCCCTGCTCACCTGCCCCCCCCCTCCCCCCCGGGGCCCCGCTCACCTGGCCCTCCATCCCCCGGCCCCGCTCACCTGGCCCTCCATCCCCCGGCCCCGCCCACCTGCCCCCCCCCCCCCCCCGGGGCCCCGCTCACCTGCCCCTCCCCCCGGGCCCCGCTCACCTGCCCCTCCCCCCGGGCCCCGCTCACCTGCCCCTCCATCCCCCGGCCCCGCTCACCTGGCCCTCCATCCCCCGGCCCCGCTCACCTGCCCCCCCCCCCCCGGGGCCCCGCTCACCTGCCCCTCCCCCCGGGCCCCGCTCACCTGCCCCTCCCCCCGGGCCCCGCTCACCTGCCCCTCCCTCCCCCGGCCCCGCTCACCTGCCCCTCCATCCCCCGGCCCCGCTCACCTGCCCCTCCCCCCGGGGCCCCGCTCACCTGCCCCTCCCCCCGGGCCCCGCTCACCTGCCCCTCCCCCCGGGCCCCGCTCACCTGCCCCTCCCCCCGGGCCCCGCTCACCTGCCCCCCCCCCCCCGGGGCCCCGCTCACCTGCCCCTCCACCCGGGCCCCGCTCTCCTGCCCCTCCCCCGGGCCCCGCTCACCTGCCCCTCCCCCCGGGCCCCGCTCACCTGCCCCTCCCCCCGGGGCCCCCGCTCACCTGCCCCTCCCCCCGGGCCCCGCTCACCTGCCCCTCCCCCCGGGCCCCGCTCACCTGCCCCTCCCCCCGGCCCCGCTCACCTGGCCCTCCATCCCCCGGCCCCGCTCACCTGGCCCTCCCCCCGGCCCCGCTCACCTGGCCCTCCCCCCCCCCCGCTCACCTGGCCCTCCATCCCCCGGCCCCGCTCACCTGGCCCTCCATCCCCCGACCCCGCTCACCTGCCCCTCCATCCCCCGGCCCCGCTCACCTGCCCCCCCCCCCCCCCCGGGGCCCCGCTCACCTGGCCCTCCCCCCGGGGCCCCCGCTCACCTGGCCCTCCATCCCCCGGCCCCGCTCACCTGGCCCTCCCCCCCGGCCCCGCTCACCTGGCCCCAGCTTGGAGATGGCGTACAGGAGGTCATAATTTATGACGGGGGTGGCGTCCTCCACTTGCTTCCAGCCGACAGGCGGCGAGGCGGGCGGGGAGATCAGGAACTGCTTGTCGGGGCTCGGGGGGGCCAGGTGGGGGCTCCCGATGTGCAGCGTCTGCAGAGAAGGGCAGGCGATGCAGCCGCCGCGCCGCTCGGAGCGCAGTGCGAGGGCAGGCCGGCGGCCGCACAGAGAGCGCCCACAGGGAGTCTGGTTCGGGTTCGGGGAGCCTCCGAACGGGGCACAGCACTCAGGCCCAGAGCCGGAGGGGGGATGGACAGAGCCGGAGGGACAGAGCTGGAGATACAGAGCCGGAGGGGGGACGGACAGAGCCGGAGGGACAGAGCCGGAGGGGGGACGGACAGAGCCGGAGGGACAGAGCCGGAGAGACAGAGCCGGAGGGGGGACGGACAGAGCCGGAGGGACAGAGCCGGAGGGGGGACGGACAGAGCCAGAGGGACAGAGCCGGAGGGGGGAATGGACAGAGCCGAGGGACAGAGCCGGAGGGGGGACGGACAGAGCCGGAGGGACAGAGCTGGAGATACAGAGCCGGAGGGGGGACGGACAGAGCCGGAGGGACAGAGCCGGAGAGACAGAGCCGGAGGGGGGACGGACAGAGCCGGAGGGGGGATGGACAGGTGGTTCGTGTATAAACGGGTCCTGGCCAGAACGAGCCGGGACCCCCGTCCTGCCCGCTCCCAGGCCCCAGCCCAGGAGGCCAGCACACTCCGATGATGTCATTCTCTGGGACCGGGGGCCGGGGACCAGGCTCCCCACACCCTCTGGTCCTCGCTGAGCTTAGAAGTCCTAGGGGTCTGAGGCCTGAGCAGCAAATCTACCCGTTTGGGCTGCCCCTCCCCCCACACAGCCTGCCGTGCCTCTACCTGAACCACCAGAGCCAGCCGGGGAGGGACTGAGCGATATTTATAGGAACCCACCGGCAGCCAGGAGCGCTCCCAGCCAGCACCCTCAGTGAGCCTGCGGCCCTCACCACCAGGGGGCAGAGCACGGCTCTGAGTCCGGGAGCTGGCCTTTTCTGCTCAGGAAGCTGCCGCGGGGCCCGCCCCCGAGGGGCTCACTGTGACCGGCGAGCGGCCGGGAAGGCGGGCACCCCATGGAGGCCCGGCCCCGGGAGGGTGAGCAGGAGGCACGCAAACCCGGCCACAGCGAGGTGCGAGCCAGGGGTGCGGCGCCAGAACCGGGCGGCCCCCCTCAGACTCTGACACCTACTGCCCGGGTCTGGGGCCATGGCCGCCCTCCCCCATCAGCACCCACCGAGGCCATGGAGCGGCCACCGCCCCAGGAAGCCCGGCTGTGAGAACAGGGCCCGGCAGTCTGGGGCGGAGTCCGCCCTCTCAGGACGCTCTGGGGTGGGGATGGGTGCGGCCGTGACCACGGGGTGGGGGCGGGGCGGACAGTGGGGTGCACTGAGGGGTGGGGGCGGGGCGGACAGTGGGGTGCACTGAGGGGGGGGCGGGGCGGACAGTGGGGTGCACTGAGGGGGGGGCGGGGCGGACAGTGGGGTGCACTGGGGGGTGGGGGCGGGGAGGACAGTGGGGTGCACTGAGGGGTGGGGGCGGGGAGGACAGTGGGGTGCACTGAGGGGTGGGGGTGGGGAGGACAGTGGGGTGCACTGAGGGGTGGGGGCGGGGAGGACAGTGGGGTGCACTGAGGGGGGGCGGGGCGGACAGTGGGGTGCACTGAGGGGTGGGCGGGGCGGACAGTGGGGTGCACTGAGGGGTGGGGGCGGGGAGGACAGTGGGGTGCACTGAGGGGTGGGGGCGGGGAGGACAGTGGGGTGCACTGAGGCGGGGGCGGGGCGGACAGTGGGGTGCACTGAGGGGTGGGGGCGGGGAGGACAGTGGGGTGCACTGAGGGGGGGGGCGGGGAGGACAGTGGGGTGCACTGAGGGGTGGGGGTGGGGAGGACAGTGGGGTGCACTGAGGGGTGGGGGCGGGGCGGACAGCGGGGTGCACTGAGGGGGGGCGGGGCGGACAGTGGGGTGCACTGAGGGGGGGCGGGGCGGACAGTGGGGTGCACTGAGGGGGGGCGGGGCGGACAGTGGGGTGCACTGAGGGGTGGGGGTGGGGCGGACAGTGGGGTGCACTGAGGGGTGGGGGCGGGGAGGACAGTGGGGTGCACTGAGGGGGGGCAGGGAGGACAGTGGGGTGCACTGAGGGGTGGGGGTGGGGCGGACAGTGGGGTGCACTGAGGGGTGGGGGCGGGGAGGACAGTGGGGTGCACTGAGGGGGGGCGGGGCGGACAGTGGGGTGCACTGATGGGGGGGCGGGAGGACAGTGGGGTGCACTGAGGGGGGGCGGGGCGGACAGTGGGGTGCACTGAGGGGGGGCGGGGCGGACAGTGGGGTGCACTGAGGGGGGGCGGGGCGGACAGTGGGGTGCACTGAGGGGGGGCGGGGAGGACAGTGGGGTGCACTGAGGGGGGGCGGGGCGGACAGTGGGGTGCACTGAGGGGGGGCGGGAGGACAGTGGGGTGCACTGAGGGGGGGCGGGGCGGACAGTGGGGTGCACTGACGGGCGCCCACCTGCGCGAAGTAGAGCTTCATCTCGCGGCCCAGGAAGGGCGTGCGGTGCAGGTGCAGGCGGGCGGCGGCCGCGGCCAGGGCGCTGCCGAAGGTGATGCGGACGCGCCGGAAGCTGCGGAAGTACTGGAAGCTCACGTCCTGGTCGAACGCCCGGAACAGGGCCTCGAACTTGGCCTGGAGACATGAACACAGGCGTCACGGCCTCCCCGCACCGGAGGATCCCGCGCCCCGGGGAGGAGCACGGGGACCCCGCGCCCGCCCCGGGGAGGAGGACGGAGACCCCGCGCCCCGGGGAGGCGGACGGGGACCCCGTCCCTAACCCGGGCGCAGGACCTGGCCGTGTCCACGCACGCTCCTCAGGCGGAGACCAGGATGGGATCTGAGAACCCATTTCTGTGGGCCTGGCACATTCTAACGTGAAGGAGGAGGTTAACAACCTCCCGTCTGCTCCCTCCATCGCTTCTGAGCTCCCTGAACAGCACCGCTCTGACCTCCGCGTCCTGGGCCCCCGCACGGCACAGCCCCGCCCGTCCGTCCGCCCATCCGTCCGCCCGCATCTCCAGTGACCGGCCGGGAAGACGATGGCTCAGCCAAGAGCCAGCAGCCTCCCGAGAGGCTGTGAGACCCGCTCCCGCTGGGGGTGTCCCCGGAGGTGTCCTTAGGGGGGCCCCTCAGGGTTCCAGCCGGGGAGGGAGCGGGACAGGCAGCTGGGAAGGACGTGCAGAATTTGGCTGAGCAGGTGCCAGGGCGGTGCCCTCCGCACGGAGACGCAGGACAGAGCTGCCCGCGGACACCCAAGACCTGAGTTAGGCACCTGCTTCTGGGGGGCGGAGAGGGACTCCTCACGCGAGAGAGAAGCATCTTCTGGGACATTCGGGGCCGGGCTCAGGGCGAGGGCGGGGCAGGGCCTCGTGCCGCCACCGGTGCCCCAGTGGCTGTGAAGCGGGCACGGGAACAATGCACACGCTTCGCCCTGGAGCTCCCGGCTTCCCCTGGCCATGGACCCTGTGCTTCCCTGGCACCAGCGAGAGGAGGGGAGTGGAGGGAGCAGCCGCCCGCAGCCTCACCGCCCCGCAGCCTCACCGCCCGGCTCTCCTCCTCCGCGGGCGGCTCCCCACGGGCCCTGCCCTCACCTCGGCCGTGGCTGGCTGTCAGGCCTGAGCATGAGCATGATTCATCGCTGAGGAGTGGTGACTCGGAGAGTATTTTTAGAATCCCAGTCAGGGCTCAGCCAGACGCGGAGAGCGTGGCCATCTGAGACCCTGCCCCTGCCAGCCCCCCACCCTCCGTCCACAGCGCCCTGGGCCGGGCAGGTGGCGCGGCTCAGCGCACACGTGTTCTGTGTAACAGTGCCTCCCGCACACACATGCTGCAGACCGCACAGCTCCTCCCAGGAAGCCAGCCCGGCTCCGGGCTCGGACCGTGTTTCTCAGCGTCACCGCTCGCCGTGGCCATGCTCCCGGCCAGAGACACTGGGAAGTGCTGCAGACACATAACCGTCTTCACGGCCTTTATCTCCAAGCTGAAACCAAGTTCTCCGGACGCCAGCGACGTGCCCCCCCCCCTCCCGAGACCCCCTTAAGGAGTCTGCCGAGGGACATGGCGCCTCCCGCGGGCCGGCTCTGGCGTCACCAGCTTTGAAAGTCCTTCCCTGTCCATCCCGCGGGCGAGCACTTTTGCTTTTTAGGCTCCAAGCATTTGGGGTTTGTTTCAAAACCCCAAAGCCACGGAGAGCCCCACGCCCCACCCCAGACAGTCCAGTTAGCAGTCCCAGCTGAGAGAAGGAGGAAAGAAAAATAGCTCGTCCGATTAATGTCATGTTTGCAAACTAAAACCCGCCGAGGACCAGAGCCTTACCCTCGCTTCACTGTCGCTGAAGACGTCACTGCTGGCCACACAGGCGACCAAGGCGCTAACGCTGTAGTTAAAGTTTCTGACATGCATCCTGCTTCCTCCCGGGGAGAGGGAGCCGCACTGAGAGCCACGAGGTGCTGAGACAGCCTGTCGGGAGCCGCCTTATAACGCCCAGCCCAGCCCCGGGAGGCTGGCTCCCGGGTCCGCTCGGAGGGCCGCCCCGGCCGCAGGCTGAGTGCAGGGACAGTGAGGGTTCTGGAAAGAGGTGACGTCAGGCCTGAGTCACAGCCCGCTCGGGAGGGGAGCGGGATGGAAAGTCTGCGTGTTCCCAGCTGCCCTGCCCTGTGGCCTCCTGGCAGCATAGTTTCCACGGGAGTAATCCATTCACACTCAGGCCCGCTCCGGCTGAATGGAGGCCGTGGACGGAAAATGTTACGGAGAGGAAGAAAGCCGCGGTAAATAGCCATCAGCCGTCGCGCCCGCTTTGGGGAACTGGGAAGCCAGCCATTTCCTGAGTGTGGGGAGTGTGGGGTGTGAGTGTGGGTGTGAGAGAGAACTGGAATCTGGCTCCGTCAGGGAACTGTTTTTAAAGAAAAAGGAGAGTTGGTTTTGAAGCACAGCTCCTGCCCCCCCTCCCCCCAGCCAATGTCCATCCCCCTGGGACCCCCAGCGGCCTCGGGAGGAGCTATGGGCCACGTGGGGTTCACCGGGAGCACGATGGCTGCAGAGTGAGGAGAGGACCGGCAGACTGACCGTCCTCCACCTGCTCTGAGCCCAGAGGCAGCTCTGACGTGCAGGGACCTGGGGTCAGAGGTGGGAAAGGGAACATGAGGGATTGTCGGGTTCTGAGACGCAGAGACAGAGCCTTTAATTAATTAACTACTAATCTTCGTTGTTGAAAGTATTTACATCCCCCCGACTTCCTCTAACCTGCCTCACCGCCCTGCTGTCTGTCCGCGGTGTGCGCACAGACACGCCACCGCCCTGGAGCATGTCCGTGGTGTGCACACAGACACGCACACACGTTTATGGTTGATCTCTTCCCACCCACTCCCACCTTCCCTCTGAGATTCCAGTCTACTTCTCGCGTCTATGTCTCTGGATTTCTTTGTCCATTAGGGTCCACGTATGAGTGACATCGTGCGACTGAAAGTTTCTTGCTTTTTTCAGGTAAGAAGGAAGGGTGGCAGGCCTGGACCCAGGCCGGAAGGTTCAGGTCAGAGGTCAGGTCTGCGAGCATCCCGGTGGCTGACCGCCGCCCTTCGCGAGCTAGGCCCCTCTGCCCGCGGGGCGCCGTCCCCCCTCCAGCTTCACTGGCCCCGAGAGCAGGCTCGGCTGCAGACACCGGACCCGCCCTCCACGAAAGATGGACCTCAGAGAACCAGGAAGCCAGCAGGACATCTGCCCCGGACGTGACCCAGAACACGGCCTCCTCGGGTGACGGGCGCACTGGGCTCAGCGCCCGCCTCATGCCAGTGCAGCGATGGAGGAACCCGGGCCTGGCACTCGCTTTGCTGAATCACCCGAGGGAGCCGAATGCCTGCATGCTAAAAGGGGCCACACAGAGGGCGGCACAGCATGGAGCACCGAGGGACCAGCCGGTGCTGGGCAGGGAGTGCTTGGGGCGTGGAGGGGCGGTGTGTCCTGGAGGTGCACGCAGACTGAGTGGTGCTGGGGTGGGGGTGGGAGGTGTGGGGGCGCAGGGGGAGGGGAGGAGGAGGAGGACACAGACTGAGCAGTGCTGGGGGGGGGGTGGGAGGTGTTGGGGCGCGGGGGTGAGCACTTTGTACTGAGTACAGTTATCACATTATAATGTCGTATACCTAAAACTTTAATAACAACAACAAACAAACAAGCCCGAACTAACCTCCAGTGGCAGGATGCGAACCCTCAGTGCCCGGAGCCAGGAGAGAAGGCAGAGCTACAGGGCGGCATGGACCCTGGGGTGCAGACCGTGTCCGGATTGTGGTGGAGAGCCCACAGTGTGCACCTCCAACCTAAGGATGTACTTGCCACGGAGGCCGCTGAGAAGGTAAATGGAAAGCTGACTTCCTGTTTGTGGCCCCTGTGACCCGGCCCGGGGCACCCCGCGCAGGCTGCGTGCGTGGAGGCAGGTGGCTGGGGAGCAGGGCCAGTGCGGGCCTCACGGACCCCTGACCAGCACCCGGAGGTGCGCGCAGGGGGCGCTGAGAACGGCCCGGGGACACGGGAGGAGGAGCGCCGGCCACCGGGAGCCTCGGCGTCTGCGTGTCCTCGGTCTCACCGGAGCGCCGGTGACTGGCACCGCCCGGCCCGCCCCGCAGGGAGGGCTTTTCACCAGAAGCTCTATTTCCGGGGAGACCGAGGCGGCGGCTGCATTCCTGACGCATATCGGGGTGACCTCGGCGTGCCCACGACACCCCAGGAGCTACAGTCGCACCAGGAACGCGGCCCCGGGGAGCTCCCTGCGAGTGACCACGGGAGAGCGAGCGTGGGCCTGTGCGCACCAGAGCCGAGCGGAGACCGGACACGCGGGAAGGTCCCGGGCCTCAGGGGGCGGCTAACCGGCCCCGCTGGTGTCTGCCCCGCTCACAGCGAGGTCCCCGAAGGCTCCTGTCCCACAGCCACTCCCTCTGCTGTGGCTCTGCTGTCCCCCCCAGGCCCTCTCCTCCCTCCTCACCGCACCACCTCCGGCTGCGGACACCCCTGCCCTCACCCTTTGGCACCTGGTGAATATACGATCAGTCCTGAGGGAACTGAGCAATCCGACATGCCAACGTGCCTGACACAGTGCCAGAAACAACCCGTGGCTGGTGTGTTACCGCCTTCTTATGCCCAGCTCACTGAGACACTGAGGCAGGGGGAGCACGGGGCCTTGTGACCAGCTTCCACGCTTGTGCTCTAAGCCACGCCCGCCGAGCACCAGCGCCCTTGGTACTACAGCTCACACCCCTCCCCCCCCCTCAGGCAGGACCGAGGGGCTGGAGGCAGGTGCTCCGCACGGTCTCCCCTTTCAGGCAGCCCTCCGCAACCACAGCACCTTCCTCACCAGCCTCCCTCGGCATTTCCCTTTGCTCCAAACGTGTGATTCCCACAGCTCCTTCCTGAGCCCAGCTCAAGCACAGTCCCCTCCTCTGCACACACAGCACGACTTCCCATTCTCCTTCTCTGACAATGACTAGTGCTCATCTCTTCATCCATCCGTCCATAATCCATCCATCCATGCACCCATCCATCCATCCATGCACCCATCCATCCATCCATGCACTCATCCATCCATCCATGCACCCATCCATCCATCCATGCACTCATCCATCATCTATCCATCCATCATCCATCCA